TTCCCCTCTCCATAGATGCTGCCTGACCCGCTGAGCGTTCCCAACGACTTCTGTTTTTGTTTCAGATTTCCAGCATCTGCATTATTTTGCAGTTTTTTTTATCATTCACTTCATGGCTGTTTGCTGGAGATTGCTGTGTGCAAATTGGCGGCTGCGTTCACTCTCAAAATTCAGTCACTCCCTTTACGCTAAATCCTGTGAAGTGCTTTGGGACGTCCTCCTGATGTGAAAGGTGCTACAAAAAAATGTAAGGATAATAATAATAATCTTTGCTTTTGAGATAGTGCCTTATCACATCAGCGAAATGTTTCAAAACTCTTCACAGGATTTTACACAGTTCACACAACCTGCAAATTAGACTGCACTGTGCTCTTAGCTCCGGTACATAATGTGTCACAGCACTAAAAGTAAAGAATATTTCTTGAGATGGGTCTTGAACGAGAGGCTACAGAGGGGCGAGGCAGAGGGGCTATGGGATGGAGTTCCAGAGAATGGAGGCAGAATGGCTGAAAGCATATCCTCTGATGGTAGGGTGGATTGGACGGGGACAAGAAACAGCCTGGTGTTCACTGAGCGAAGGGAATGGCTGGGTCGTTATGGTTGAAGAAGATATTCCCCAGTCCTGACTACAGGCAGAAGTATAAAGAGACACCTTACTTAACATCTGAATATTGTGAAATGAACAGAATAGCCTGAGGTACCTGAAGCTCTGAGATTCCCTCTTTCAATGAGGGGAGAGGGTCTCTGTTCACTTACTCACCAAAGCCTTGGACCAAAGTGAAGACTGTGCCATATGGATTATCATGAGCAACTCTGTCGTGCAGAGTTATTCTGCAGCTTTGTTGCTGCTTCTTCGGTTATTGTGCTGATATTCGAAACAGTCTGTTTTTGGCAGCTCTATCATGTGGTTTGGGTATCTGATCACAAATCATGTGTCACGAGCACTTAAGATCAAAATGATTCAGCATGCTTAACCATTGCAGTGTGGTTTGAGAGGCAATTTAGAACTATATCATACTACCCATAAAATACACAGTCACTTCAATTAACAGTATAACCCCTGGAGTCTTGCAGTTCAGTGGTTAGAGCACTTGCCTCACAAGTGAGAGACCTGGGTTCAATTCTGGCAGGCAGAACATTGGGCAAGTTTGCTTACTCCACACATCTCTGTTTACCTAGCAGTAAGAACCGGTTGTTACGTGATTGGCGGATTGCTTTTCCAGCAGTAATAATTCCTTTAAAAAAATTGACCATTCAATCCACGACTGTTTTGTGGGACACTGCTGTGCGCAATTGGCTGCCGCATTTCGCCCACAAAATATACAGTCAATTCATCTTACAGTATATTCTGTGAAGCGCTATGAGACGTCTCGAAAATGTGATAAGGTGTTATATCAAACGCAAGAATTATTATTATTATTATAACCTGTAAAGAGTTTAGAGACATGCTGGTGCTATACAAATGTAATTTGTTGTTTTTGTCCGTTGAATGTGAAAGGTACTGTCCCAAATGAACACTGCTGTGCGCAATTGGCTGCCGCATTTTGCCCACAAAATATATAGTCAATTTACTTTACAGTGTATTCTGTGAATTTCTTTGAGACGTCTCAACAACATGATAAGGCCAACCTCTATAAGATTTTGAATCACTCCAATTCAAAATACTTCATGGTTCTTCAAATTTTGGCTTGATCGGGATTGTTGGGATCAGGCTGTGAATAGTACCAGGAGATTTCTACTATAAGTCATTCTGAAGATGTGAACCTGTCACCTTGTTTTCTGGGTATAAAACCATGTTTAGCAACTGTTCTGTTGTTGGTTGCTTGAACAGAGTGAATGTCAGTCATGCTTCTAACATGTCACTGGGTTAAATTAAACTCGCTGTTGTAGCAGTATGCGAGTGCTACATCGTTGCCATCTTTGCTGAGTTCTTCTGACCTTGCTCTCTGGATTTCCCTCCCCTGCTGCCTCCCTCTCCACCTTCCAAACCCACCTTTTCGAGACCAGTCTTTTTGACCACATTTTCAGCCACCTTCTCATTCTGGATCATGTCACCTAAACGCCTGTCCTTTTTGTATCCAGCACATCATGGCATAGCTGGAGTTTACAGCTGTAGTATCCAATGCAAACCAGGAATGAAACAAACAGTGCACTGAGTGATGCTGTCTTGTCCACATTCATACATTTGTCAGCAAAACTGGTGAGCTAACAACCTTGATATCAGGGCCTATTTCCCTGTATTTCTCAACAGATTTCTTGATAAGAAATATGTGATTATCACATTTCTAAAGCATCGAATGTGTTGAAGAATGCATTCAGCACATTCAATTAGATTCACAAGTATTCTGAAATTATCTGAAACCTGATCAGAGCATTTCCTAACATGTGAAGTTCAAATAAATAAGACTCTTCAGCCTATCCTCCCAGAATGCTAACATTACAATTTTCCCGGTTACCATATCAAGCATTTTTTTTCTATAGTCCACAGTCCTCAACTCTACTTTCTGGTAATCTGTTCTAGTTGTTGATTACCTCTGTACAAAAAAATACACACGACTTCCTGGTGTCTGTCCTAACGTCAAATAGAGCAAATAGTGCAACAAGCAGCAATTGCTGAATAATATTAACTATGCCCCTGAGATATTATCACATTTTGTGAGCTGCTTTCATGTATAATGTGTGGTAATCTTCAGTATCTGAGTCACTTGACAACGAAGGCCATTGTGACTCTTACACCTTCTTGTGTTACTAAGACACAACAATCTTCAAATGCAGTATTAAACTCTCGCAATTCTTAATTTTATACCATATTCAGCAAAATATTGGCAGAGTAGCAGGAGCTATATTTACAACAGTACGTGCATACCTTCATTTTGGCATAGAAGTGAATCAATGACTTACTCCAATGCACCGAGAGATGTACAGTACTGTACTGCCCTCTTTATCAGTGTCAGTGGCTGTGTCTCAGCCTGGCAAGCAAGTCGGACAGTTCAAAGATCTGTGTAAATATTTGTTGTACTGGAGCTAAATGTTTTTTTTCCCCTCAACAAACAAAGTAAATGAAGCTAAGATGCAGTTTTGGCATAAACAAAGGCTCAAATATGTAGAATGAGAACTTTTACAGCACAGACAGAGGCTATTTGGCTCTGGTGTCTACTGGTTCAAGCTCCCCCACTGGAGTTATTTGTTCAAATCCCATTCCCGTGCTCTTTCCCCATAATCTTTAATGTTGTTTTTCCCTCAAATATATTTTAATTAAATTCAAGTGAATGAATGAACATTCATTCCTGAAAGATGGATTTTTTTCTAACTGTGAAAAATAAAATGTGTTGACTGCAAACACACAGTCACTTGACAACAATTCCCTGTGAAACGCTTTGAGATATTTCAATGTTATAGGCGCTCTGCAAAGATTA